TCCCAACACTGTTGTATTGAGGAATTAAGTTTCCAAAAAGTGAATGTTGGGTGGGGGGCAAACCTATATCATAGCAACTATCTTTCCAAGGTTCCTTCTAATGGTCATTCTAACCAGCTAGACTCTAACTGCAACCAAAGCCAACACTTCACAGTCCTGCCTAGGACATCTTAAGATAAAACACTTAAAATGACATTAAAAGATAGCAGTTGGCCTTTTAAGACAAATATCTCCTAATAATCTATTGTTTCCTAGAAGATGCTGGCTATTAAATTCCTGGAGAAGACCGATATGGGAAGAGTTATACATATACTCTTACAAGATGCTCTGTTTTCCAAAAAGAACCAAGAAAAGTGCCCCAAGTTACTGTACGTGGAAAGAGATCTTCCAACCTCAACGGCTCCTCTGAGTGCAAAAGCAAACATGTACAAAGCTCGCAAACCCACATCTGTCTGCCTCCTGTTCTGTTCGCAGCCTACAATCTGCATCAATAGGCAGTGATGGGCAGTTGTCATAAGCTAAGTGCCAACCAGACTTCGTTCCAAAAACAGCAGGGTCCTCCTGATGTGGGATCAGACAGTAATGGCGAACCTTTTAGAGACCAAGTGCCAAACTGCAACCCAACACCCATTTACTTATTGCAAAGGGCCAACACTGTGATTAAAGCTGAACACTGAGTTTAGAAAAAACAACACTAGGGCCAGGGATTTAGCTCAGTTGTTCCGCCACACGCTTCGCAAGCATAAGGACCCGAGTTCAATCCTGGGTACTAAAAAAAAGAAAAAACAACTCTACATTAACATCTTTTGTCTTAAAAGAAAAACACACATGCCATAGGTTTGCTACCACTGGAATAAGACTACCATTCCTACATGCCTAGCACTTTTACGCATGGTATCTCAGCCCTTTTCTACCGGCGAGGTGCACCTATTCCCAGGCTCGGGGAGGCTGGCTGCAGGGAGAGAGACACGATGCCAAAACAGACCTTGAGTGGCCAGGTGCCTCTAGAAAGCCTGCCCAGAGAACATCAACAGCTCGCCAGACATGGCCCTCTGCAGCCATCTGTAGTTGCCACTTTATTGTACTGTCTTCCCAGTGGCTGGAAATCCATTAAAGGGGCAGGAATAGTTCTGAAGTGTTTGAGAAATCCCCTTTTCCAGCACAGAGCCTGACACTACCAAGTACTTATCTGGTAACTAATTATGGATCAGTGATGATCCAACAATTATTTTCTGAGCACTTACCACGCATCAGGCACCACTGCCATAAGTGTGGGCAAAGCAGGCTCCATTCCAATTTGACATCCAGTTGGGCAGACAGGTGTAATCAGTTCATACAATTTTGTGATTTCAAACAGATTAACCGAAAATAACCAGAAAGAACAGAGGTCAGTAAGGTACGCCCCAAGGGCCAAGCCAGAAAAGTGGCTTTAAAGGAAACATCTGCCAGTGCATAGCTAGAGCGAGGACTGTAGATTCGTATGGCCCAGATCTGGGAGAGTGGCATCAGGAATCTGGAAGATTCCCCTGAAAAAGCAATACAAAGCTTTACAAACACAAGCTAATAAAAGCCCAGGGTAGCTGGAACACAGAGCAGGGAAAGCACATGACATTTCCAGGCTCTGTACTCAGGATGCATGTGGGTCTTTCTACAAAGAGGCAGGGATGTGTGTGTCTGAGGGGTCAATTGGAAAGTGAGGTGAGTGAATTTACATTCTGCAGAATCCTCTCAAATGCTCTGGAAGCAGGACAAGAACGAGTGCAGGAGCCAGGCTGGAAGCTACAGCAGCCAACTGTTGAGAGATGCTGGTGACTGGGACAGGGCTGCAGAGAATCAAACGGATTTCAGCTGCATTCCAGAATTAGACCACTTGTCAGAGGTGAGGAAGGCAGGTGACTTACCTACCTTTTCAGACCTCACAACAGCTATTTTTAAATGTTTGCTGACTTTTTCCTCTCCAGGTGAAATTCTCATCAAATGGCATGACGATTCAGCCTTTCCTACATGAAGATGGTGCTACCTCTAACCAAAGACCTCTTAAAGATCAGTATTTATAGCAAGAAAGAATTCCACAAGAGAAGAAAAAACATTTTTGAGAAGCCAGCCTCAAAACCAGTTAAATCACTAAATGTGAACAGGGAAAGAATAATGTATCCACGGAGGACTATTTCTAAGACATACACAACCCAGGGGTACCAAAATCTCAGGGTCCTCAATCCATGCTTAAGCTTGCATAGTATTTGCATATAATCGACACACATACCGTCCTATATACTTGAAATGATCTCTAGATTTCTTTTTTTTTTTTTTTGGTACCGGGGATCGAACTCGGGTCCCTGCGCTTGCGAGGCACACGGCGGAACTACTGAGCTAAATCCCTGACCCATCTCTAGATTACTTACATGATCTAAGAAAATAAAAATACCAGGTAAACAGTGATTACACAGGATTGTGCAGGAAATAATGATCCAAAACAAAATCAGTACATGTTCAGTACAACACTCCAGTCCAATAGTTATTTCAATGCAGGAACAGAACTCAAAGCCTTGCACAAGGTAAGTACATACTCTAGCACTGAGCTTTACTCCCAGCCTGTTTTATTCTTTTTGATCTGCAGTTGGTTGAATCCACAGATGAAGAATGCGCACACGCACAGGACCAAATGTATACCGTAGAGCCTAGGAGACTTGGATCCATCCTCTCACTTTAACACCTGCAGGAAGACTAACCTAGGCTGCATTATTTTGTCTCTCTGAGATTGTTTTATCAGTAAAGAAAAAGAGAATGCCACTGTTCTTCCCAAGGTTGCTCTAAAGACTAAGCAGAAACAGAGTAGCAAAAGCAAAAACAAACAATAATTACTATTTTTAACATTAACCATTGCAACTGCTTTTAACCATAAACAACAGTGATTGTGAAGGAATTAACTTTCATTCGACCATAAAAGATCACATTTTACATAATAAAAATTATAGCAGTAAAAGCTATTAATAGGAACACATTAACATTCAGCATGACTGCCTCTCAGGAAATGGGTGACACAGTTATGAAGACAAGTAATAAAGGATGCACACACACACGATACACCATACACATCCACACATACACACACAGCCATGCCAACCTGGCCCAGGAAAGACGAGCCTTCCTAATTCACTCTGCACCCCACTGCCTGGAACAATGATTGGACTAGCCTGGCCGGTCAACTAGAATTGCCTGGGGAGCTTGCTGAAAATACAAATTCCCAAGCTACACCTCCCCAAATACATACTCATTTGTTTCCCTCTCCCTTCCCCTCCCCGCTTTCCTCCCTTTCTTCCTCTTTCTCTCTGTCATGGACATATACACACATTCTCAATCAGAAGATCCAGAATGGGAAATTAAATCTGCACCATTAAATTACAAGCCTGCAAAGGATTCTAACACAGCTGGACCATGGATCCCAAAATGAGAAGCCCTATCCTGACTGGGGCCAGACCCCACAGTAGGCCTCCATGAAGGACTAATTGATAATTCTAATAATCAAATGTCATATAAACACATATTGAGACTCTAATATGTGGTAGTCACAAAGTATCTGTATAAAATACTAAGAAATAATACATAAAGGGAGAAGCAGCTCTTCAAAGCTCACAAGCCTGATGGTAGCACAGACTTTCACACACTTGATTAGCTAGCAGTGTGTGACTACACATACACACATCAAGATAAATCTTTACTGAGTACCTTCTAGATACTTCTGGACATGAGAGATACATCAGTAAACATGAGAGCCAAACTGCCTCTCTACGTGGAGCTGATGTTACAGAGACAGGAGAGAGAGAAGAGGCAAAATTTAAAAAGCATAATGTACAGTACACTCCGTGATACGTGTTATGGAGAAAAAGTGGGCAGAGAAGAAAGGGAGGTGGAGGGTCATTTTCCAATTTGCACCAGTTTCAAAGAATTTCCGCGGCTCTGCGTGCTGCGCTCATGGCTGCTGAAGCTTCACAGCAGAACAAAGGGATGAAAGGACAGATGGAGAGATGAGGGCCCTCCTGGGTGGGCTGCGGTGGAGACACAGCTGGTTTGCAGGCTGGGCGAAGGCTGCTCCTCCAGCCTCTTCGCGCCACGGAGCATGAACCAGCTCTGACCGCATCACCTCCGTGTCTCTCACCTCTGCCAAAATCCCACATCCTGCATTGCAATTATGTCACCCTTTCCTGGGTCAAGTCAATGGCAAATTTTAGCACTTCTTTTTAATCATAAAATGAACACAGGACCACAGTACAAAGTATGAAAAATACCTAAAAACACAAAGACTTCAAATATTCTTACCCTCAGCACCCTCTGTTCACATTCTAGTGTGGTTTTTGCCACTGTTGTTTAACATATCTAGGACTACTCTACATCCACAAAGTTTCATATCCCTTTCTTTTCATTGTTATGAAATACGCATGTTCACTGCATATATAAAATTTTTAATTACCACATATGCATTTTTATCCTTAAAACAAGTTCTATACAAACATTATTTTTAGTAGTTATAGAACATTCTGTCCCACTGAGGCAGTGTACTTGGTTAATTATTTCCTAGCTATTTAGGAAATAGCTAGGAAATTTAGGTATAGCTAGGTATTTAGGTTTCTGAATTTTCAAAAACTGAGCCAGGCATAGTGATACATGGGAGGCTGAGACAGGAGGATCACCTTAAGTTTGAGGCCAACCTAGGCTACATAGTGAATTCAAGACTAGCCTGAAATTCATACCCCCTGTCTCAAAAAAAAAAAAAAGTTTTCAATTGTCCTGAAAATAACTTTTTAACAAAAGGTATTTCAAGAAGGTCCCTCCGAACGTGTTCTTAGAAGAAGTATGAAAAACTAGACGCTACACAGATAGTCCACAGTTGACCCAAATTCAGTCCCTTCACCTCCTTTGTGCAGAGGCAGAGTACAGAAGCTCACCATCTCTCACCACCTTTCAGTCTGGACAGTGGGTGGTGATAGAAAAGATTTATTTACCTGCTGTCAGAATCCGAGGCGATCTCCTTTCTCCCTCCAAAGCGGATCTGGCACTGCACAGAAAAAGAAACTGCTGAGATCAGCTATTGGGATGGGACTCAGAAGCATCCTGAAACAGCACACACTGGTCTTCAGGGTCAGAGCAGGACACAGGGCCACAAATTCCAGCCGCTCTGCCCTGTGTGTTAGCTCGAGAGTTAAGGTCACATCTCAGCCTCCCAACTGCCACTTAAAGGAAACTCTTATCTCCCACTTGTACAGGAGGAAGCCTGTGGGAAAACAGTGCCAACAGGAAAACAAAGCACATAGCCATCTGCAAATTATCTGGGAAACTGCATGTCTGTCAGCAGCTAAGTATACCACAGAGCTCTTCACAGGGGATAAGGGAAATATTCACAGATCCTTCATGGTCCCTTTGTGTCAGGACCCCGGAAGTTATTATGCCTGGCTAGAAAACTGCAACAGCATGAATCAAGCTTCAAAGAAGTCATCCAATTTTGCTGAATGACAATTTATCCAGGGTAGGTAAAAACAAAACCAAATCGCCATTTTTTTTTAATGGAGGTAAAAACAGAGAAAACTTACCATTTTAACTATTTTGGGCTATAAAAGAAAATTTGCATTGCTACACAATCACCACCACTATCCATAGTCTTTTAAAGGTGTGGAAACCTTGCTACAGACAGCTGCCTGGCAAATTCCTGAACTTGTCATCAGAAGTACATATAATTTTAAACAATGCATTTGTCAAAACTCAGGAAACTTTATGATGTTAATGGTATATTATATGTAAATTATACATCAATAAAGTCACTTTTTAAAGATATATATAAATGTAATGCCTTAACTCCCCCCCCCAAATAACAACACCAACAAGCAGAACCTCTGAGCAGAAGTCCCAATTTATTCTAAGAACTGTATTTAAAGTGGTTAAACCTGCCTCATCTTGCTACATTTTCCACTTCCAAAGAAAGAAATAAACACAGGCTCCAGACTTACTGTGGACTAGGCGCTATCTGGACCCTTTCCCTAACTTTAACAAATGCAATTTGCTCCACAAATTTTCTCAGCCCCCTGGAGACAAATGACGTGGTTCCAGAGGACAAAGATGGTCGGAGAGAGCCACATCTCAGCCCCCAGCCTATGCCCTTCCACCACACCGGGCTGCCTCAAGGGTTGGGCAGAGATGCTAAAACGCTCTGGGCTCATTTCAACACTTAACTCAAGGCCTATTAAAGCATTTACCTTCCTATACCGTAATTCTATACTTATCGTTATCAATCCCCCCTTCTAAAAAGTGAGCTTCTTGAACTCCAGGGCTGGATCCTAGCTATATCATTTGCTATTCCGGTTTGGACATGGAATGTCCTCCAATAGCTCATGTGACAGTTGGTCCAGAGTAGAGCGAATGGATCTTTGAGGTCTCTGATCTTATCAATGGATTAATCCATTGATGGATTCATAATTGAATGGACTGTCAGGAGATAGTGGGAACTGTGGAGGTGGAGCCTAGATAGAAAAAGAAAACACAGGTCCCAGCCTATTTCCCTCTCTCTTTTTGCTATGCAGCCACCATGAGGTGAGCAGCTTTCCTCTATCACACCCTTCAGTCATGATGTTTCCGCCTCATCACAGGCCTAAAAGCAATGGAGCCAGCTGACCACGGACTGAGACCTCCGAAACCCTGAGCCAAAATAAACTGTCCCTCAAGTTGATTCTCTTAAGTATTTTGTCATAGTGATGGAAAGCTAACACTAAACTAGGATACTTTGAGCTACTTGCTGAATCTCTCTAAGCTTCAGTTTCTGCATTTATAAAATGAAAATAATTGCACGAGGCTCGGATTTATGGCACACACTGTAACCCCAGCACTCAGGAGGCTGAGGCAGGAGGATCACCACAAGTTCAAATAGTACCTGCTCTACCTCTCCTCTGACTGCCTTCCCTGCCTTATCACTTCCTAGGGAAAACTCTGCTTCACCATTCCCAGAACACAAAGTAAGTCTATGTGAACAAGAAGGGAGTGATGACTTCTGCAAGTACGCATACTCTTCTTACCTGTTTTACTGCATCCAGCAGTCGCTCCAGAAGAAATTGCCTTTTGTCATTGTTCTGTGACCCTAAAACGCAACGAGGCTTAATTAGTTGTCTGACATTAGCCTGCTATTACAATTTCCTGACATGGTAGTATATGGCTGTCCCCAGTTACAATCAGTCCTTCACTAACAAAAGCAGTAGCAGGACCAGTGCCAATAGTCTAAATCATTACAATGAAGTTTGATCATGGGCCAGGGATTTAGCTCAGTGATGCCACCGCCTGCCTCACTGGCCCAAGGTCCTGAGTTCAATCCCAGTGCCAAAAAAACAAAACAAAACAATGAAGTTTGATCATTTGCCTATTACCATATCACAGGAAAACAACTAAACTAGTTCTCCTCAAATTTTAGTGGTTTGTTTGTTTGTCTTGTTTTTTGAGACAGGGTCTCACTATGTAGTTGAGACTGACCTGGAACTCATTATGTAGCCCAGGCTGGCCTAGAACTCACAGCGATCCTCCTGCCTCAGCCTCCCAAATGCTAGGATTACAGGCCTGCGCCATCACGCCCGGCTAGTTTTCCTCAGATTTGAAGAACACATCCGTAGTGTTCTAAGGGTCTCTCAAGTGTGGGACTATGGACATTGTAAGAGATAGAAGTATCATTCACATATACATACTCCTGAGTTAGGAAGAGAAAATATCTCCAGATATTGTAAAGTGTCTCCTGAGGGACCAAGACAAGAGGGGAACTGCCCCCAGATGACAACCAGCATTCTAACACAAAATGTAAGTTTCCTAAAGTGACAGGTTTTGCTTATTGACTATTCTTACTATCGTCTCAAATGTCCTTTTCCCATGCCAACTTCTGCAATACAAGCCTAAGGAGCCTAATTACTTCTTTTCTTAGCAGTTAAGGCTGTTTTGCTTTGTTTTGTTTCTTAAATACTGGGGATGGAATTCAAGGTTTTTGCACTGAGATACACCCCCAGTTCTATTTTTAATTTTTTATTTTGAAACAGGGCCTTTTTTTTTTTCTTTCTGAGACTGGGTCTTTCTATGCTGTTCAGGCTAGCCTTGAATTCACTATGTAATCCAGGCTGCCTCAAACTCATTGTGATCTTCCTGCCTCGGCCTCCTAACTGCTGGGATTACAGATCTGCATCACCAAATGCAGTAATAGGGTCTCACTAAATCACTAAATTGCCCAGGCTGGGCTCAAACTTGTGATCCTCCTGCCTCAGCCTCCAGAGTGCTAGTATTACAGGTGTGACCCACACCTAACGCCTTTGTATTATTTTGAGACAGGGCCTTGCTAAACTGCCCACTAGCAATCCAACTTAAAATTCTCCTGCTTCAGCACAAGTAGCTGGGATTATAGCATGTATCACATTAAGCCTTTCCATACAGAGAAAAGATACAAAGGGCATCCTTCCTTCCTCTACCCTGAGTCCTTAATCACATACACACTGGGTGGAGCCAGAGGAACATCTTGCTATCACAAAGTCATGAGCAAAAGGCCACGAGAATCAGGAATATATCAGCCCTATAATCACTGAGTTGCTGAGCTAATACTAGAAATAACATAACTTTCACCAAATAAGAAACCTCATTTGTTCAAACCACTGTAGACTGGGCTGCTACTTTCAGCCAAACATCTTCCCGAGTGATACATATGACATACACTGAAGTTCCATTTAAGAAGGTCAGAAGTGGCTGGGGATTTAGCTCAGGGGTTCCTCCACCTGCCTTGTAAGCACAAGGTTCTGAGTTCAATCCCCAGTACCAAAAAAAAAAGAAAAGAAAAAGTCAGAGGCAAGAGGATTGCAAAGCACCAAGTAGACTGTTGTCAAACAACTGATGCTCCACACAAGGCCCAATGATTCCAATCAACAGAGATGAGGCCATGGGTTAGAATGCACCAAGCTCAGAGAACAGTCCTTTCAAAGGATACTCAATTTTAAAGATGCACCACACCATGGTGTTGGAATTGCCAGCAAGCCACTGCTCTTCTTAGCCAGCTCTGTGTGAGCTCAGGAGGGAAGAGCAGCAGGGCACTGCCCAGAGACGGCCAGTTGACTCCTGCAAGTCAAGCCAGGGCCAGTCAGCTGGAACCAATTTCCACCATGTGCTGGACATTTCCTGTTTGCCTGGCACTAAGCTGAGCATTCTACACCCAAATCATCTTTAATCTTCACAACCAGCTCATAAGTCAGAATCTCACACCATGGATAGGGGAAAGCTCAGCAGTATGAAATAATTGTGTGCACGGATCCACTCAGGATTTATTTAACTTTTACTGTATGCCAAGCAATCCTCTAAGTACAGAAGTGAAATGGTACAAAAGAGCCATCTTCTCACGGAGCTAAAATTTCATTAGGAAGAAACTAATAGTGTATAAGCACACTTATGAACGAAGCAATGTTAGAGTCATGCTTGGAACAAAAGGATGAGATGAGTGAGAGGGGAAGAAACAGAGCCACTACAGCCAGTCCAGTCCTGGGGGCCTCTCTGCAAAGGTGACATGCATAGAGTGGAAGACCAGTCATGGAACGAAATGGACGGGTAGCATCTAGGGCCAAACAGACAGGCTGGGGAAAGATTCATGTGAGACAAGCTTGGGTTCTGACCTTCCAGAACTAAAAGGAAGTCCACTGTGACTTGACCAAGAAACAAAAAGGTGTGGGGGAGGAAATAATCAGAAAAGCAGACAGAAGAAGCCATGGAAGAAGTTGTAGACTAGGATGAAGGGTTTAAATTCTGCCCTAACTTAAACACAAATTAGTGGAACTGTGATCTATGATTTTTTTTTTTTGAGACATCATCCCACTATGTATTCCAGGCTGGCCTTGATCTCACTTTGTAGCCCATGCCAACCTCGAATTTATGGCAATCCTCCTGCCTCAGCCTCACAAGTACTAGGATTATAAGTATGTGCCACCACACTCTACAGAACTGTGATCCTGATGTAAGACCATCCTTCTTTTAGAGGCTGAGTTGGGACCACCACACCAAGGCTCCTACCTTACTCCAAGACTGGAGACAAAAACCAGTGAATATCCGTTCACAACACAATCTAAAAGAGTGGCTCCTCAAACATTATGATTATCACTCTACACACCATCCTACCAAAGAGGCCGTCCAAAAATATCGTTCATAATGGGTACAGAGCTTCCCTTCCCAAGGCCCTCTAACACCTCCTGTAACATCTGTGCCTTTTAATTTCTGCTCTTACCTGTCTAACACAGAGTAGAAAAGGCAGGTTTGCTTTTTTTCTTTTTCCAAGTACTATACCTAGCAACTTCACTTGCCCTTAGACAATGATAAATGGAAATGTGACAGTTTTGCCCCAGGAAATCCATTTACTATTCTTTTTTTCTTATCATAAAACTTATGCAGAAAAAAATACAATAAAAACAAATGAGGAAAAATGAACAAGGAAAATAATCTCCATTATCTCACCACTGATGATTTTTCTTCACAGTGCTTCTCAAACTTCAGTGTACACGTGGATCTCTAGAGATCTTGTTCTGATTCAAAGGGTGGTGGGTGGGACCTGTGACTCTGCATTCCTCACAGGCTCCCAGTGATGCTGACTTGCAGGTTCCTGAGCTACACCTACCCTTCCTAACATGCACAATGGCCCTATGTATGTCTTAGGTACTCTTCCCGAGGTACTGAGTTTCTTCTACATGAGAAGTCAACAGCCTCTTCTACCTCTTGCAAAAGCCTCTTCTCATAATGTGGGAAAAACTTGCACAGGTCTCCACCCAGAGACACAACCTTGCTGGCTATCATCTTTCAAGTGGGATAGTTCTGAGCTCAGAAGGGGATCCTGAACAGAGATCTTGAGAAGGATCTTACAGGCTTCAGGGTGCACGCCCTGGAGGCCCCCGTTTAATGTCAGGAGGTGTCCAGTAAAGGCCCTGACTGTGGGCAGAGGGCGAAGCACTGAGCCGGAAGTCACAAGCCTAGAGTTCTCATCCTGGCCAAGCCACTTGCTGATCATCTGACAAGGACAGTCACTTCCCTTCTCTGGGCACTGGATCTGCATGAGATCAGGCTCTCCTAATACTGCAGTTTGCAAACACGAGACATGTCAGAAAAATCAATATTCTCTGTCTTACCTTCTCCCATTGATAAGACAGAGAAGGCTGCACCCCTCCACCTGGGTCCAAACTAGTCTTCCAGGTTCAAGCGCTGCAATCGCTCAAGAAGAGCAGGGAGCTGATCTCACCTACTGTGCCGCAACTGTGGCTAAGTCAGTAATGCCTGATTGACTTAATCCTTGACAAAGATGGCAAAGGGTAGTCAGGTGTAGGGGTGCATGCTTGTAACCCAAGCTATTCAAGAGAGGCAGGAGAATCACAAGGCTGCCCTGGGCAACATAAAAGATCCTGTCTTGAAACAAAATTGTAAAAGGGCTAGGGAACATAGCTCAGGAGCAGATCACTGCCTAGCATGCACAAGGCCCTGGGTTCACTCGCTCATACCACCCAAAAGAGGGAAAAGGCTACCACCATTCAACAGAAAGAAGAGAGGCTCATTTTATTAAGGCTAGACCATGGGAAGTGGTCAAAAAGCGATCCAATTCTAAGTCCACTGCCTCTGCTCTTCCATCTGCTAAATTCTGCTCACCCTGGACACTGGTTACAAACCTGAAGCTACAGCCCACTGCAAGTTCAGGAGGAGCCACACATTCATATTCAAGGGACCAAACCCGTTTCTTCCCTTCTCCGGGGCCAGCACCAGCTAACATCAACAGTAAACTAGAACAGGCTTGCACCTCATTTCTTGTTACATCACCATCAAGAGGAAAATACAAAGGTAAAGGCATGGCAGGGAATGCCTTAAGGACCACAAATCTGTCTGAGAAAAGCACTCATCTTCTAATTCTAACGCAGAAAACACATTGGTGTGTAAGACTCTCCCCTGGTTCAGGTGCCATTCTGTTGTCTCACCTTCTCTTCAATATTTAGAAACCTGTTTAATGTTTAGATTCCTTGAGGCCCTACATTAGTTTTTACACAAACCTCTGGCCTTCTGCCTGGAGTCTCCACTCAAGCTCCAATGACCTGCTGGGAAGAAAGAGCAGAAAACAGGGTTCTGCTGGGTTTGAGCCCTACTCCCTCAGCCGTATAATCAATGGACAAGCTACTTCACTGCTTCAGACTGCTCATCAGAGACTGTTAGAGTTTACATCTAGATGCCCCCGCAAAGTCTTGTGTGCTCCTAGGTGGGTCTTTTGGA